TTATAAAGTTTGACTGAGTTCAGCAAGAACTTAAAGAAATTCACTCCATTCCCACCTCCGCACATTAGTTACAATAACTTCAGTTATTGTTGACAATAATAGAAACATTCTATTTGTTGTAAGGATCACTATATAATCTTAAAGATATTTAACCTCTGTGAGGTTATACTTCTCATGTATAAAATAATTTAGATTACTTTGATTCCTTTGGCTTTTAGGATTCTCAGAATTCTAGTATAGGCCTAGTTATGAAACAGGCTAATTCCTCTTTTTGCGTTTTTTTTTAAATATTTTTTTATTGATTTTTTTACAGAGAGGAAGGGAGAGAGATAGAGAGCTAGAAACATCGATGAGAGAGAAACATCGATCAGCTGCCTCCTGCACATCTCCTACTGGGGATGTGCCCGCAACCCAGGTACATGCCCTTGACCGGAATCGAACCTGGGACCTTTCAGTCCGCAGGCTGACGCTCTATCCACTGAGCCAAACCGGTTTCAGCTGCCTTTTTAAATAAATGAATATTCCATGGTTGTCAGTGACCAGCTTTTCCACTCTACATTCTTTCTCCAAGTGTCTAATAAACTATTATGACTTTCTCAAATTTATGCTGGAGCTCTAACTTTAAAACTCCACATTTAAATTTGTATTTGTTGTACATGATTAACTAGATGTACTACCACCAGCCCTTTAAAGGTATCATGCAAAACAAATAAATTATGTGTATGTGTACCAAACTTCTTTGTCAGTATGTCTTGTGATAAAAAACAAGTTTTAGGATCAGATGTACCTGAATTTGAATCCCAGCTCTGCCATTTATTAGCTGAGAATAATAACCTTGATCAGATTAATCTTGTCTCCATTTTTTATGTGTAAAATAGGGTTAAAACAGTACTTATAATTCATACGGTTGTTATATGTGCATGTTTTACATATACAGCTTAGTATAATACCTGGAACATGCTAATAGCTCACTAAATGTTAGCTACTGTTATTATCAGTAGCATTACTATGTTTCCTAGTCCTCCAGGTTCTAAATAGCTCAGTAATCTTTGACAGATTCTGTCTTTAAAAAAAAAAAATCAATTTAATCAGCATTTGTATATTTTCCTTTCCTTTTTTTAAAAAATTTTTTTATTGGTTTCAGAGAGGAAGGGAAAGGGAGAGAGATAGAAACATCAATGCTGAGAGAGAATCACTGATCAGCTGCTTCCTGCATGCCCCACACTGGGGACTGAGCCCACAAACCAGGAATGTGCCCTGACTGGGAATCGAACCATGACCTCCTGGTCATGTCAGCTGGGTTATTTTCAGAAATTTTAGTATCCAAATAATTAACTATAAACTATTTTGATTTTATAAACTTTATCTTTCATGAAACCAAACATCCACTTTTATTTTATTTTTCTAAATAGAATCCAATTATTTGGCATCATTAAAATGTGTTCAGCTAACTATTTAACTTTTGCATAGAGGATGGTTGTTCATGTATTCATTCATTCATTTGTCAGATATTTTTTGAAAACCCACACTAAGCTAGGAACCAGGCTATGCAGTCAGGAGATAGGATAAATATGACAGTTTTTGTAGTTGAGAAATTCAGAATTTGGCCAGACATGTACATAGATTTGTTAGAATTTTATGTATTGGGGAAGAGGAATAAGCATGCTTGTAGTTTGGGAGGAGGGAACCAGTGGAGAAAGGTGTGATATCCTTGGAGAGGGAGTAGTTGAAAATGCAAAATGCCCTAGGAAAATATAAAATCCTGGAGAGAACGAAGGAGACTTGGAGAGGAGCAGACATAGTTCTTCCCATACTAGCAGAGAAGAAATATGTACAAGAGTAGGTCTAGAGTGGTTTGGGGAGGTGGTAATACATGTGGGAGTGAACCTTGAGAAAATTTCCCT